CACTGGATGGGAAAACACAAAAAATACACTTGGACATGATAAATTATATAGGACTCTACATTCACACTGTGAGGCCGAAGACAACTATTCCTAAGAGAAGACCCCAAAGGCTCAATAGCAACGTTAATATGACCATATAAAATGATACTTATTAACCTGAACTCCAAGAAATGGAAACAAGAGGGTTTTTGTTATTTTTTCTCCTCTGTTGCTATTTTTTATTATCAAGGTGATATATAAAGGAGTTACAGTTACATAAGTAAGGTAATAAGTACATTTTTTTTTATCAAACTTACCCCTTCCCTCATTTTTTGTGCTGGTTTTGTTTTCCATACATTGGTGGGAAAGTCAAGGGGGAGCACAGAAATCCTGGGGCAAAGGATCCACCAATGTAGCAGTGATACTTACTGCACACTATGTTGAAAATCAGCTATATGCCAGGCTCACATCTGTAATCCTACCTATTCAGGAGGCTGGGATTTGAGGATTGTGGTTCAAAGCCAGCCCAGACAAAACGTCCATGAGCTTCTTATCTCCAATTAACCACGAGAAAACCAGAAGTAGAGCTGTGGTTCAAAGTCATAGAGTCCGGGCCTTGAGCAAAAGAGCTCAGAGCACCCAGGCCCTGAGTTCAAGCCCCATGGCCATCAAAAAGAAAAGAAAATGAGCTATTCAACTTAGTGGGGTGGCAGGAGGAAAAAAATTGGGAGAAAGCCAGGAAAGGAGTGACACTGTTCTAAAAGAAATGTACTCATTACCTGCTATATGCCACTGGAACCCTTCTATACATGACCTTCAACAATAAAGAAAGAATAAGCAGAGAACCTTCAGATGGGCACTCCTACATAACTGCTCCCAAAAGCTTTACACACACACATTGCCTACAACAAGAACCTTCTTATCAGAAGTACTGTTAGGATGATATACAAACAGAGATAGTCAAGATATGTCTGAATAGACATCCAGGAGAAACAAGGTTCTTATAATAGACCAATTATAAAAGGAAAACACCAAAGGCAACAGACAACCAGTAATAGAATAATCAATATTATGGTGATGAAAAATATTAAATGTATACAATCGATTTAGGCAAAGAGATTTATGAGTCTGTTGTATCTATGAAACAATAGCTGCATCACACAGGAAACAGCTAGATTTATTGAAAATGCAAAATACTATTAATTGAATAAAAATCCAATACGGAGAGCTAATTCTCCATTGATCTGTCATATTTTGTGCATCTTGCAAAGTGAAGTTAAGATTGTTCTTGGTTTTTTTTTGTTGTTGTTTTGGTTTGTTTTGTTGGTTGGTTGCATGGCTTGAACTCAGGGACTAGAAGCTGTCTATGAACTTTGTTGCTTAAGACTAGTACTCTATTACTTGAATAATAGCTCCATAGATGGTTTTTGTTTTGTTTTTGGTGGTTAATTGGAGATAAGTATCACAGATTTTCCTGCCTGGACTGTCTTTGAACTATGATCCTCAAATCTCAGGCTCTTTAGTAGCTAGGATTACAGCCATGAGCCACCAGCACCCAGCTAATTGTTCTTATTTTGCACTATTGTTTCAAGGACATTTATTTAGTAAAATGCTTTGGAAAAATCGAATATCTCCCTCCAGGAAATGGGATGCTTAATACTCAATATAATAAAAAATGTCTCCCTATGAGGCACTGGAACTCTAAGTTTTGTGATTTTTCTCTTGTCACAGCCTACTATGTGTTTAGATACCATCTGGCCCTTTTGGATTGTCTTGTGGTAACTAGGACACAAGAGATTAGCACAAATGCTGACATGTGAACTACTCTGAGTAATAAACTATGTTTGTCATTGACCCAGGAACTTATGTCATCTTTCATTATCCACAAAATTGTACCAGGCTGGCTTGCAAATTGGCAAACATCTCTGACTCTTCACAATTATTAACTAACATAATGGAAATCTTGAGAGCCTAAAAGAATGAACTGAAGATCAAGGCAAGATATTTTCTCAGAATTCAGTCCAAAAGATAAATATAGATTATAGAGGCACGTTAACAAATACAAAAGACAAATCCAAGAGATACGAATATGAGATAGGAATTCTGGAAGAATAGAGAGAATTGAGAAATGTAACTACAAAAAATAGAAAAACTATTCTTATAGCTAAAAAGAGTAAAAAGATCATATTATTTCAATGAAGCACTTCACAAATACTTAATAATGACAAAGGAAAAAAGGGTATATCTACAATAGTTGAAGCTACCTTAACCATATTATTACTAATATCATTTCTAGTTGGACATACTAATTTATGTGTTTTCTGACATCATGTGTTAGAAGGACCCAATGTCACTTCTAAAATATTCTTAACCAAAATTATTTACTCTGAACCTATCCATGAGCAATCAGACAAGTCCTCTTAATCCTCTTAATCAATTGACCTTTAGTCTTCATTAAAATATATATATATATATATATATATATATCCATGATTTGAAAAAGAAAAGATTAGGATACTCTTCTAGATTTCCAGATAAAGAAATAAAGAAACATGACAACTAAATTCTGTGCATAGTTATTACTTGGGGTCCTCAAAAGATAAAAGTTTTAGAGTTACTGGAACAACTAGACAAGTTTAAATATAGACTACATATTAAATAATAATGGTATATCAAATTGTCATATTTAATCAAAGTTTACAAATTGTTACAGTGTGATAGTTGCTTTGAGGTTAGTAATAAAACATCTATGTTCGATAGGACTTAGGATAACATGTTATTATCTTCAACATACTCAAGTAATTCATCACAAAGCAATATGTATAATTTTATATATAAACTTATAATTTATTTCAAAATAACAAATTAGGGAAAATAAGTCACAAATTCTAATCAAAATACTAATTGAGGAAAATTTCATATAATAAAGATTCATGCCTGAGCATATTTATAAGCCAATTTAGACCTCAAAAATTTGAAGATTACATCCTTAGTTTTTCAGGTTACATACAAAGCATCTTGAGATATAAATAGAAGTTAAGAGAACAATGTCATCCCAGTTCTGAAACTTAGCTTGAACCTAGATCTCTGTAGTCAGCCAATAAGATTTAAATGTGAGAAGAAAAGAAGAGAGGGGAGGGCAGATATATTTTAAGTCATAGAAAGAGCAAGAAATTTTACATTCCATGGATCTAGCCTGAAATAGTCCAGGATTACCAGATGCTGTCAGGTTACCCTGTTCTTCAAAGGTTTGAAATCAGAAGGCTGTTTTTGGGGGAGCCCCCTTTGGGTGCTCTTAAAAGATCTCAGCCACTCTGCACAGCTCACATCCCCAGGCTAATTCTGCCCAACACTGGGTAGCAAATAAACTGACTGCATTTTCTGTACTCTACCAGAGGCATAATGCAAATGCTTTAAAGAGGTCATTGCCCTCCAACTGTGAAATGGTAATGTGTTAATTATGTGCTTAATTAATTTCTACCCAACAGCACACCATAAAATTGGAAAAACAATTCTTCAGACAAGTTTTATCCCCCAAGACCAATGTGCGTAAAGAACATAGCAAAAGATCAAAATGTGTCACTAGTAACCTTGTTTTTGGTTCAGAGGCCCATTTTTGCTGTACTTTGTTGAAAGATGCATAGTTACCATTTATTTTGCCTGTCTCTTTCTCTTTGTTCTGCTACTTTCATGGATTAAAAATGACAAGGATGAGATTTTTGCTAGTTCCTTTTTGATAAAGACTCCAATGGGCAAAACTTCCTATTAGAGTTTACTAGGGACAGTCATCTTCCTCATTAGTTTGCTTGAGTTTTCTAATGTAAGCATGATTTGCAAGACTTAGCTAAGAAATTACAAGTGTAGCTTCTGTAATGTAAATATTCAATTATATGAGATATAACAGTTTCTTAACTGATCCAGAGTTGTGTCTACATACTGAAACAAAACTAGTGCAAGAATAGAAGACACAAAATAACTACTCTGATAATATAACAACTTTGCAATTATTTATAAAATCTTTGTTATTATCCATCTCCAGCACTTAACACTCCATGAAAAATTTATTGTGTCTTTAATCCACTTTCATTATTTCTAACATCAAGCCTAGTGCTTGGTATCTATCTGACACTTGCAAAGTTTTTGTAAGCAAGTGAAGCAATGAGCAGGTGATTGAACAAATGGCAAAGCCAAATTAAAAACCTAGGGTTCTGACCTTGTAGATCCTTCTCAGATTACCAGATACCTCATGTGGATACAATGACTTTCGAAGTAAAATAAGAGGCAACTTGATGGGTAGTTAGGCCATATAACTTTATGGTTAAATCATTCTAGAGACTTATCTCCAGAAAGTCCTGATTTACCATGCAATTGGTCTCACATGAAATCAGTCATAACACAAGTCTTAGTGCATTGGCAGTGCATTGCTGTGGATAGCTACCCACTATGGGTCCCATCACCTAGCCCTTCAGTGCCAGAAATGCTGGGTCATGTGGCTTGGATCTCTTCTCAATGAAGGATGCACTAAAAGAGGTTAGAGAGCCAAGGAATTAGAAGATAGTTCCACAATTCCTGTTGCAGACTGAGAGAACCAATATCTGGAATCAGAGAAAACAGCTGAAACCCCATTCTTCCTGCTGAGTGTCACCAGCTTCTGGCCCTGCATCTGAGACCAAAAACAGCATGGTTTCACAGGCCAAATCTCTACTTCCAAGCTAATTTGTCCTAACTCATTCCCAACGTATTATGAGACATCAACGAAGGTAAGACCCTTAATTATATCTTGATTTCAGTTGCATTCACCTCAACTGCCTTTCTTGGATTGTGTGCATACATACTATGCACACACAGAGACACACACATACATACATACACATAATTATTTTATTACTGTAACAAAGCTGTTACAGTTGACATATCATTTGACTCAAAGCATAGCCAACATTTTCAGTAACATCCTGGGTCTGCAATTTGTAGTTACAATTTCTTCTCTCCTTCTCTCTCCCAACAATATCCTGTCTTAGGAAAGGAAGCTGGTGGGACAGTAAAAAGTTTGGATGGCAAAATTGAGGAGAGTGCTGAAATACCTGCCCAGGAGGACTCCTCCCCCTCCCCCGTGGAAACTCAGCAGCACTCCTGGCAGGTTTCCACAGACATTGAGAACACTGAAAGGTAAGTGGGAAGTTTCCCTGAATAGATTGCCAATCCTCCCCCAGTTCATCTTCTTAGTGGCTATGGAGTGTTGAGCATTTTTCTACTTCAGGTTCAGAAAACACAAAAGGTTTGGTCTGCAGAGAAGAATAGCCCTGGCAGGGACCTCAGAGACTATGAGAAAACTTGATAAGTGAGTAGGTATATTGATCAGTTTTGCATTGTTTTAACAAAATAGCTCATAAAAACAATATGGTTGCAGAAGTTTCAGTCCAAGTTCAGCTGATTCCATTGCTTTAACTCTTAAGCCAAGTCAATACCTGGGCAGGGAGCATGTGGTGAAGATGCTCAGAAGATGGCAACAAAAAAAAAGCAGAGCAAAAGCAGAAGTGGCCAGAGATAATAAATAGCCCTCAAGCAAACACCTTTGGTGACCTATTTCCCACCAGTCTCCACCTCCTAGTTTTATTTACCACCTCCCAATAATGCCATCAAATTATAAGCCTATGAATGGATTGATTCATTGATTAGGCCAAAGCCCTCATGTTCCAATTAGGCCAAAGCCCTCATGTTAAAATCACTTCTTAATAATTCTATGAGCCTTAGGAGCCATTTTATATCCAAACCATCATAGAGAGTACATAATCTAAATTCTCTAGGGAGACTGTAGCAAGAGCTCCAGTAGGTACAGGATAGCATATCACATTCCATGAAAAATGAAAACAAGGCAGGAATGCCCGATATAGCAGCACACAACTGTAACCCCAGAAATCAGGAAGCTGTGGCACTTTCTGCCACAAGTTTTAGGCTACTGTGAGCTATATAGTGAGATCCTATCTCAAAATAAATAGAAATATAGCCTACCTCCTTGGAAGGAAGAAAAGTGAACGTGCTTACTGTTACAGCTCACCCACTAGACTGGTTCCCAAAATATCCATTTGATTAAGAGAAAAGAATATAAAATCATGTGGCGATGCTTCCCATAGATGCTCTGATTTCAGACATGTGGAAAGCCTTGTTTAGCATTCTGTCCAGTTCAAAAAGATCATTTCCTCTTATATTCTCTTCCTCTTCAGAGTGGCCCTTAATGATCAAAGCAGGTTAATGTCTTATTGTAACATCAGCTGGCTTACTTCTAGGGAATAAGTTTTTTTCTAGGGAATTTGAAATTCTATAGTGATTCTCTTGAATCGAGGAAAAGGTAGCAATAACAATACAAAAGTAAGTGCCATCTATGTCCCATTTAGATGCTAAAAATGCCAGTCTGAGGGACTGAAAGATAAAACCCTTGTTTACTGGCTTTCCCATCAATAACTGCCCTTTGCTACTAATGTCCTCAGATCTGGCACAAACCAGCTGATTGGGAGGGGGAAGGTGAGTCATTGACAAGATAATGAACATTTTATTTTTTTTTTAATTTTAGAAATGAAATACGCAATGGCATTTATAGTGATCGTGGCTCTACTTTCATATTCTAATAAATTCTAAAGCTAATTACCAAATTTCTGGGTTTATGGAAATTTGGAGCATGTGATAATTATGTACTATTAATAACACCAGGATTTTTGTAAAAGCCTGGACATCCAACAATTCAAATGATAAAACTTGTTTGTTTCAGATTGGTAGGACTACAGACAAATGATGAAAGAGTTGTATATTTAATTATTAAAATTATTACTGAAACATTTCTTGTGTACCTTCCCATGGGTGAGTGTGGGGGTAATATTCACAGGAGAAACCATTCACAAAGCCATTTTTCCTTTTCAGATACCTTGTACTGCAGCTATATCAAAACCTCCTAAGCTTTAAAAAAGCAAACATGGACAGCAGTACAATTAGAGTAGGATATCCCAGAAAATAGAATGTTTCTAGTCAGGCTGGTCACCATTTCAAGTCCAGATTCTGGACAAAGAGATAGAAAGCCTGTGGAAAGCAGGCCCAAAAGACCCTGAATGATTTAGACCTCCTCAGTTCTTCTTGGAGCTCTCTGTCCTGAGGTCAGTGGGTGGTAATTGCACTGTGCATTTAACTGACTAGGATAGCTTTTGAAAGCAGAAGTCCTCCTGGAGTAGGATGAAGACACAGGTGACTTCTTTGTGGCAATCTATGGAAAAATTGGTGCTCTTCAGGAAGACCCCCCTCCCATCCTTCCCCATCCCTCCTGCCTATCCTATAAATCTTATCTGAACGGAGAGGTACATCTTGCAGGGAGGCAGCTCCCTCCCTCCCTGCCAGCCCTCTAATTTCACCTCATCTGCATAAGATGCTAATAGACATTCCTCAATCTTATACTACCAAACAGGTTGTACAAAGGTATTTCTGCAGAACTATGAGGCTACTTTCCCTTCCTTCTCCAGTCAGGACTTCCTGAGACTTGAGTTCCTTAATATTCTTGAGGAGCAGGCTTTCTGATGTCTCTGACATCCCGTCTGCCTGCACCAAAACAGTGGCCTTCCAAGTCATGCCCAACACAACAGCAGTACACTGTGAAATGGACTGAAGTTTTCATACTTGAAACGGAATGATAGCTCTTTCTTCAAATGCCAGAAAAAGAAAAAAAATGTTGGTAGAAATTCTCCAAATTTTTCTTCCCTGAATTCATTCTTAAGCTTGTGCTGTGTGCTATTTCTTCCTTATTCTGGAGGTAATTAGTATGTATTTCTTAGTTTTTCAACATGTGATACCTTTTACTGTGTTAGACAAAAATCTACTACTTTGTTCTGGGGGTTCAAGAGCACTGTCTTCACTGCTCAACCACTTAGACATGTGGGCAAACTACTATCCCAAAGGTCTAAACAGGCCAGATGCCTCCTGTCCTAGACTACAATGCTCTACAGAGCTGGGGTTTTAAAATTGTATGACCTCTGAGATGAAGGTGGATGCTTCAGGTCCACAATGGCATGATGTGCTCTGAGCAAAGGAGCGAGAGGGAGCTTAGAAGGACAGGCAAGGGACTTAAGTGGTCCCTCTCACACTCACCACTATTCTGAAGAGCTTTTCTCCAGAGGTTTTAGAATTGATCATCCTCCGGGCATGCCTAATACATGCCTCTAATACCAGACCTCAGTATGCTAAGGCAGTAGTTTGAGGCTAGACTGAGCTACATAGCAAGGCCCTGTCACAAAAACAAGGGACAGGGATAAGGCTTGGTGAGTACTGGTATATATGCATAAGTATATAAGTATATGTAATATGCAATGTATAATATGTAATGTATATAATGTATGTATAGGTAGATAGGTAGATTAGATAAATACATAGATAGATATACAGATAGATTACTGGTCCATCATTTAATTTAGTAAAACCCTCAGGAATACTTAACTAGTGTCCTGCTGAATTCTGACCATAGTAAGGAGGAGCTTTTAGATCCAGTCAACTGTGAGAAACATGTACAAACCATAATCTTTCCAGCACTCCGCTTTCCTTGAGTAGGTGGGTTCAGTTCTTAGTCTCTACTGATAAGAGAAAGTACTACCCTTAATACCAAAGTCATTTCTCTGGGCTCAGCCACTTCAGAGCTCCTGCAGAATATACACAGTCTAAATGCTTGGCAAGGGAGTTTCCCTTCCTTCTAAAACCAGTCTGTCTCAGTTATTTTCCTTGTGAAAGCAAAATAAATTCTATCGCTGCCTACTGGAAACCAAAGCTAGTACAATTAGGCACTGATGCTTGCCCTTCAGATGTCTTATGGAACAGACTGAGATTTTACTTTGAAATCTCACAGCTGATTATTCTTTCTTTTCATCAATTTTACAGAGACATGCGAGAAATGAAAAACCTTTTAAGCAAACTCAGGGAAACTATGCCTTTACCACTGAAAAATCAAGGTGAGTCTTGTCATTTCCCCTTGAAACAGAGGAGGCTTTTAACTGATAAACTTGGGACTTATTTCCTAGAATGCAAAGCAAGTATTTTCCACAAATAGAAAATGATATTGAGTGTCATTTGCCTTTTCTTTAAATGTCATAATGAGAGTCTCTTGAGTGAACTGAGTTTTGCTCTGAAAGAATCTGAGATATACTCTGACCTGAAAACAGATCCCACACAATGAACTAACTTGACCAGTGCCAGAGTGTGGTTTACAGCAGAGAGGAAGGAATTCAGGACATTTTCAAAGGAAGATCTATATTGAAAACTTTCAATGTGCCACTATCCTAAATACTTTATCTGTATTCATTGTATTATATTTATTATTTTTTAATTATTAGTCCTTGCTAGGGAGCTACAAATAGGCAACTGCTCTACCACTGAACTGCATCCCCTAAACCCTTGATAGTTTCTAACAATAACTTTGAGGGAAATACTATTACTATTTCCCAATTTTCAGGACATAAAGACTCAAGAGATTAGTTAATTTAGCCAGAAAAAAAAAACAACAACTGGAGTGGGAACCTGAACTCAGGACTCCATCTCCAAAGCTATCTTAGGAGTATAAATCCTGACACAGAACTGGAAGTGGTGAGATTCACCAGAATGAGGAAAGGGACTCTCTATGCTTTTGTTAACTATTGTATTCACATTATCAAGAATAGAGCTTGGTAGGTAGGGGAAAAACAAAGGAAGAGGCAACAATGCTTGATAAGAAATGGACTCATTCCCTTGCTCATGTAAACTGTAACCCCTCTGTACAGTATTTTCACAATAAAAAAAACTCATTAAAAAAAGAAAGAATAGAGCCTAGGACTAGAAGAATAACCCCTGGTACCAACAATAATGTTTGTTAAGTCTGGACCTAGCTTTGCAGGGCTGGGCCTGAGGGATGTATATGAAGCGTGAATAACAAACAGCTTTACTATGCATCCATGGCTACAGCATCCTTGGCTAGCGCGTCCATGGATGAAGCATCAGCTTCAGAAAGTAGCACCTAGAGAGTGGGAAAGGATCTTTAGAGACAAGAAAGAAACGCCTCCTGCTTCCACTGAGCAAAGCCTGGGTGGGAGGGAGTACAGGGCGCTGCTTGCCTGGGAGCAGAGCGAGGAGGAGGGAAGGGGAGGAATTGGCAGAGGAGCTGAAGTGCCTCTTGGCTTCAGAAGAAGTCGGGCAGAAGGTAGAGAGGTGGAAGTGAGAACACCAGTAGAAGAGGCTGGGGAGTGGGGGGGGGTTCCTGGGCACAGGGGTGGGGGTCAGAGAGTAGAAGACAGGAGATGTAGCACCTCAGGTCCCCCCATATACCCCTGAAGGACCTGGCTTCCAAGGCCAACTGGCTTGAGCCATCTGGAGTGCCTTATAGAGTGCAAAGGAAGTAGGCGTGTTATACTGAAGACGGGATGCCCTCACCCCAACATGGTCAGAAATAAGCGTGGGGTTGGGGTTTAGGACCAAAGGCCTTGGGAATGATGGCTCTGCCATTGTTTCCTTCAGCAACCTCAAGACATTCGAGTGGCCTCCTTCAAGAAAAGGGGACAATAGCACCTGTTTGCCAGGGTTGTCATGAAGAACAATGAAGAAATATGCCAAATGTCCACACTAGGCCTTAACAGCAAAACTTCATTGTTGCTACTATCATTATTCACATATCATGTCCTGTTTTAGCCTTAATAATGCAAATAGTTATTTCCTTATTTTATAGTTTTAAGAACATTGTTATTTGGGAGAACCCCAACTTACTGCCCAATGGTCTATGCTTACTACTCACCCTGTCCAAGATTGTGTCCTGTCCATGTACAGTCAGCCTTGAGCCCCTAGGTGAAGCCATTGGCCTCTGGGGCTTTACATGTGGTGTATGTCCTCATTATCAATACATTTGACGTGTCTCTCCAGTCACCAGCACACCGGCTTCTTGTTGAACCTTACATTCAGTTGCCTATTAGTGCGGCTAGCTCAGTATCCCCCAGTCTTCATTTCACAGATGCCAGGAAGCCTCTGTTTTAAATCAAATTATCTTTTTTAATATTTTTTTGGGGTCCGGTCGTGGGGCCTGAACTCTGGGCCTGGGCGCTGTCCCTCAGCTCTTCAGCTCAAGGCTAGCGCTCTACCACTTGAGCCACAG